GAACTCACTGCTTCCTCTCTTTCGCTTGGCAAAAAGGCCACACTTAAACACTTGGCGTTCGCCAGACAAACTTTGCATAAAAACCTTCACGCTTATAATTCTGGCCGGAAGTAGAAAATAAGAAATGATAGTAAAGATTTAAAATAAAATAAACGTTAGTAAAACTTAAGATCCTTACAAGATAAGAGAAAAAAATAATATTTCTGAGACTAGAATTCACTTGCGCGCAGAAACCTTTTATTAAGTGTTTAGCAAGGATTTTAAGTACATTTGTTTCGTAAAATTTCGAAACGGTGTCTAAAACTTTTGCGTAATAGCATGATGTCGCCAAATTTTTTTGCGCACGTTACGAATGGGTTTGCTATGGATTTGCTTGAAATTTCATGCTTGCGTAAACAATTTTAGATTGGTGGAAATGACAGTTAAAAAGTTGTTTCTTTGCGTTTTGGGTAGTACATCGTCCAATATCCAGTGTCTAGCATTGCTGCTCAAAAGCAATACCTTAACTGTCGGTGCAACGGCTGCGACTACTGGGAGAAAGCCAGTGGCCAGTGTATAACACAACTGTGACTTGATGGCTGCACGTAAAACATGTCCATGAAAAATTCATGACTTTCATTTGCTCACAAAAATAAAGCTAATTTGTGATAATTTGTGAAAGAACAGGAAACACACTAATCAGTAAAATAATACTGTCGAATAACACGTCCTTAATCATGGTAGTGAGATGGTATAAACTAGAGCTTCTCTGGTATATCGCAACGTTCTGTATATGTTCCTTAGATGGGGGCATATAGGTAAGGTTACTATACTACAAGGTTTGCTCTTCTGAACCAAGGTCAACCAGCGTGATCCAGAAATAAAAGTCCTTGGCTCGTACGTCTGGGCAAAAGGTACTTCACTGTTTAAAAGAAGCCTCGGAGAGAGAAATGTTTGACCTTAAAAGAGCATAACTGTTTCTTGTCTACTGAAATACAGCTAAATTCTACATTTAAACTTTCTACCCGAAGTACCTTGGGAATCACCATAAACAGCTCCTTTAGATGGTTCACACACTAAATCAAGTAAAAGGCTCATGATGAAGCTTCAGCCACTGCTCTCAAAATTCTCAGGGCTTCCTTTCTCTGGGAACGAAGAAAAGAATTTACATTTCCATCATCAGGCTAATTTTCACATACACCTCTGCACCATGGGCTGTAAGAAAGGATAAAGATATCTAAGCAGCATAGGTTATCCAATACATATTTCTACGGCTCCTACAAAATACACATGCTTTATCAGAAACGAAAGTTTGCATACGGACTTAAGAATCAAGTATATTAATGATCACCTGGAAGTCATAACTGACAACTTCTTTCGGAAAGCAATAACCAACGACTTTGCCAGTTTCCCCCAAATTCCCCAAATGCGAAATACTTCCGGTGGATTATCTACTTAGGCCGTTTGCAACACATTTAATCAGAAAATAAAATTTGATACAAATACCATAGTCAACATACCTTGACTTAGTTGTCAAAATTGCAGTCTTCTAAATTTTATATGACAGTCCTTTGCAGTTCGTCGCCCACTTCCCATGTCATGCTCTTGGGTCTATGAGGTTTAAGTGTGTCCGCCGAAAATATCACGTCAAAAACATCGCGAACGAAAACTTCGCGGAAAAAACAACGCAAGACGAAAACGCCGTGGCACAAAACATCGTGTGAGAAAGAAAAGCAAAGAGAAAACATCGCAGTTCTAAAACATCGTGGTACAAAATATCGTCGTCGAATATAAAGCGGTTCAAAAACTTCGCAGTTTAAAAACATCGTCGTCGAAAATATCGTAGTAAAAAATAAAGTACATATCGTGGTAAAAAATAAAGTACATCATCGCATGACGATAACATCGCAGGCATGCGTTTTTCATGCTTTCATAATTGTGAAAAGATATTCGCATAATGATTTGTGAGCGTGCGATGGAAAGAAGGATAATTTTTACTTTCATATTTTTTATTAACTAATAAATATCTGTTGAAAATGTAAAATGGAAACTTAAGCATAGAAAATTAATGCAACTTATAGCACTTAATAGAATCTTAAACTGACATAGTTAACTAACAAAGGTCATTAATAAATTATTTTTATAAAATTTACTTGTAATTTTTCATGAAAAGTATAATATAAAATGGATTAGAAAAAGGAAGATAAGTAACTGCATGCCCTTATCTACAGTCGTGTGCAAAAGACCACACATGGAAAAATCAGATTTATTGGAATTCCGCAACATAAATATATGCTATAAATGAAAAAAATAGACTTTCAAGGTTATTGAATTATAGTCAGTATTTTTTCGGACCTCCTTTATTTTTTCTAACCCTGCTGCAATCCTTTTAGGCATGCTATGAACAAGAGACTGGCAGTAAGCTTGATAAATCTCTATACATCACAGATGCTTTATTGCTTCAACAAGTTCTGTAGCATTGGATGGTAGCTTCTCCGCGACTTTATGTTTCACAATACACCTCAGATTCTCTATGGGATTCAAATCTGGGCTGTTAGCTGGCCAATCAAGCACTTGGATTTGAGTAGCAATAAGATAGCCCTTAACATTCCTTGCCCTGTGGCACGGAGCCTCATCATGCATGAAAAATGAACATCTGTGAGCATCCAAGTGAAGCTTCAACTTGTCACGTAACAAATTAAGGTACCACCTGGCGTTCATAGTGGTTTTAGGTGGCAGGGAATATACTGCAATACCAGACGCAGACATTGCACCCCATATCATCTGGCTTGGAAGGTATTTCACTGTTGTAATCGTGCATCTATCATCATATCTTTTTCCAAATGAGCGACGAATACATGTAGCAAGTGCAGAAAATTGCTGCACACTTGACTCACCGGAATATAACACTGTATTCCTCTGGTGTTCGGTCCAATTCTGATATTGCCTGGAGAAAGTCAGTCGTTCCTTTTTCATATTTTGAGTAAGTCGAGTTTCCTTGCAGGTTTATACGAAAATACACCATAATCTTTAGTCAAACGTCTTGAAATGGTACTCAAACTTACGTTGGTACTCTCTGCAGCCAGAGCAGCTCTAATTTCATTGCAGGAGGTTGTTGGAGTGATCACCCTTCTTATCCTACGATCATCACCTGCACAAGTTTTTCTTGGACGACCGCTTCTTTTAAGATCCATATAATTTGCCGAAATTTTGAATCTACTGATAGATTGTTGCACGTCTGTCTTGCTGACATTTACCTTGAAACTTATTTCATGTTCAGAAAAGAAAACTTCATGCAGGCCACTATTTTTGGCCGTTTTTGAGCCGTAAGTGAAGGATTTTTACCCATTAGAAGAATTATACAACAGCACTGTGTACGCAAAATCCAATAACGAACCACTGATAAACGACACCACGTTATAGCAGAAGAAAGCGTTTGATGCAATCAACGCATGAGATAACGCAATCACGAGTGAAAATGGTGCAATTTGTTAAAATACAGGAAAACGGCTACTGGTCTTAAACGTTTGCACGTGGCTGTATAAAAAAATTGCTATGTTAATATTATGAGATTATTTTCTTCAGTTTTGTTAATCTGATACTCTTTATAGTGAAAATTTACTCTTTTTCTGCTTAAATTTCTTGTTTTCTGTTTTATAAATTTATTAGTTAATAAAAATATGAAAGTAAAAATTATCCTTCTTTCCAATCTTGCGCTCACAGATCATTATGCGAATATCCAATTACAAATATTAAAGCCTGAAAACGCATGTCTGCGAGTTATCGTAATGCGATGAATTGTAGATACTTTATTTTTTACCACGACATTTTCGACAACGGTGTTTTTAAACTGCTAAGTTTTTGAACCGCTTTATTTTCATCGACGATATTTTGCACCACGATGTTTTCTCTTTGTTTTAGTTTCTCCTACGATGTTTTGTGCCACAGCGTTTTCGCCTTGCGTTGTTTTCTATGCGGCGTTTTCGTCCGCGATGTTTTCGGCTGTAACCGGTTTAAGGGAGGCTCAGATGTTGAGAGACTGAGGTTTGGGACTCTGAAATTAATAACATACTACGGGGAAGAGCTGCTAAGTTGTAGCGACTGAATGCTTGTTAAGTTACGAGTGTCGGAGTATCATTAAACTCTGTGTGAAATATTATGTCTCAATTCGTGAAGGTTTTCTGCTGAAGAAGTAATATGTTGTCCGACTCATGGCATACTGAATACTGGAACACCATCGATAGCAAAGTTAACGAACAAACATTGATAGCAGAGTTATTAAGCAAAGCATTGGTTAGTACTTCTTCCGAATCTCAGTCTTAATTGAAATCCTTAGAATGCCTTCCGCTATTGCTCATAACCGTCTAACCATTCTTGATTCTAACCGTCTAACCATTCTTGATGCTACTCAGAAGCTGAAATAATTTTTGCACAATGGCAACTATTATCTTTCACTGATCTTTATCAGATTATTAAATAGATAAAACCCATTCATCATCGAATAGTATTAGTGTCAGTGAAGGCTATATCAAATTTAATTAATCAAAATGATCAGTTCATGTTGTAGAGACATTAGGTATTTTTTGGAAGCAAGCAAGATGAAAAAATTAGCAAACGCCTTTGCCGGGAATCGAACCAAGGACCTCTGGAATACCGGCCCAGCGTGCAGAACCACTACACCATTAAGGCACGCTAGGAAAGCGGGAGAAATACCTTACAATGCAATTGGTGCCTTCTCAGAAGAGGTGTGAGTGAGGTACATCCTAAAAGACTTTATAAGTTTAAATCACATTACTTAAACATTCTTTTCTTTTAGAAAACGTCCTTTTACTATTGGCTATTAGCTCACTACATCTTTTGAGTGAACAAACTTCAAAATCGCGATTTTGTTTCTATGATATTGAATGACATGATGAACTTTAACGATGATGAAATTACCTAATTTAACAATTGAAAAATTAACTTTCAATCAAATAAATTTTATGTATGCTATATTTCAGTTATTTTGTTTACCTTTTCAGGACAACAAGTGTTTTGATTCAAGGAAATTGTTTTATAGAGGTAAGCAAAATATTTTGTTTAAATATTAGCAACAAGAAAAAGAATAAGTTAAGCTAAATTATGATAATATTTTTTAGCATTATAACTGCCTTTTTTTCATAGCAACTATGCTTCTAAATTTTTAGAAAGTTCTGCTTTTCATAGTTCATCTTAAAAATATTTCTTCACATGTTAAAATTATTTTGTGTAATCCCCAAAAGAAAATTTCTTTTGCATATTTTAGTATACAAAAGAATTCGAAACTGTAAAATATTTACAAATTTATGTTTTTCTGTTTTCATGATAATGTGAGTTTATATATATTGGCAGAAATTAAGCGTTTCAGGAAAAACGCAGTGTCTTTTACATACAAATTTCAGAAAGATGTCTCATGTTGCTAATAAATGAATGTAAGATTTTAATGCATAGAACACATGTATATTTTTAACAGGCATATATTTAATGTATAGGACGAGAGAATGTTCATGCATAGAACGGACATTTCGGAATTTATAGTAGCATTTTCATGTCATGATTTAACCTATGCAGCAAAAAGGGTTTTGTCACTATTAGTTATTCTAATCTAAATTTAAATGGATAGCATAGAAAACTGTAATTTTGCAATACAAATTGTGTACTGAGGTTTAAGGAAGCTTTCTATATTAATAAATTCGCTTTTCTTAGAGATCACGTAATTATAATTTTTTCATTTTAATTTTTATATTGTCCTCCGCAGTAGTTTAACTCATACTGTGAAAAATTTATTATTTTCTTATATCTTGTCATCCGTTAAATTTAGCCGATCTTCGCTGGTAAACCCTATATATCTAGGAAAATAAAACAAAAATAAAAATCAGACTATAATAAAATAATAAAATAATAGTAATAATAATAACAACAATAAAAAATCAACAACAACGACGACGACAAAAACAACAAAACAATAATAATAATAGTAATAATAATAATAGCAACAACAACTCAACAACAATAATTATAATAACTAATTTTAAAACGTGCATAAAGTCGCAATAGTATAAAATAGCTAATAAAGATTTAAATTTTGTTTATCTAAACAAAAAAAAATATTTATTAATGTAAACCTTCTTCACACACAGGCAGTCTGACATAACGTTACAAAATGTGATAATGGGTGGTGTGAATTAAAGATTAATAAATGTAAAATCTAATAAATTGCTGGCCTGATTGGTACAGATCGTGTTGTGGACACAATAACCCATAAATACTTACAATTACGTGCAGATCGAAATCTGTGATCTAAAAGAGAATATGAAAATCAAAAATAACTTACCCTAAAGGATGACAATTCAAATAATACAAATCAATTAATATTTATTCTATCTTTCACATCATTAAATTTTGAATCAGTACTAGCATAAATTAAGCAATTATTGACCAGACAGACGAATATCAATCCTACAATTTTGAATCTGAACCTCTCAGTACGAGTTGTGCGTTGTATTTCTCAATCAAAGTAGGATTTCATTCCATCAACGTAAAGCTAAAGTCTCGGCGAAGAAAAAACAGTCCAACATTTAACGGTAGAAATTGAGTTAGCTCGCTATACCAATATATTTTTCGAAGAAGAACAAGACGAATTCTTAAATCATCAGGAAAGATTAAAGCACGTGCATACGAAGATTTCTCGAAGTTTTAAAGTTGTCGAACATCATTAATTTTCGGCAGGTGTTAGTTATATTGATCTGTTTAGTTAAATCTTCAATTCCAATTTTTTACTAGACGGAATACCATGGCTCTACATCCAGCAACAAAGATGGCAGTCAAAAAAGCCACATGCATCAGCCGGGGCGAGGACAGCCAGAGCCGTTCTACACCTTCAGACCCCAGCAGCAGCTGAAGGAGAAACCGGTTGTAGCAATCAATTTCGCCTTGTCATTCCGCGGTCGCAGTTAGTACACCTGACGCTGAATAAATGTGGAGGCTTGCCTGCACATATACAGCCCCACACACAAATAAAAATTTGGGAAAACGCGTAAACAAAAATTAAAATACTATATTAAAATTAAAATACATTTCAAGAAGGAAAATATTTAAGTGTGGGAAACAATACATAATATTTACACTAAAAATTACAAAATGTTAGTGACGAAGTAAAGACTAACGTCATATGACAATAATATTCTTAAATTTTGTATATTTCTAAAATAAAAAGGAAGAGACAATGTGAAAATGAAAATAACGAACGTCAAAAATGTATCGCATAAGACAGAGTATGTATAAAAAAATGATTTCTATTTTGCTTTTTCTATTTATTTTTTTTTAAACGTAAATATGCTATTTTAAAGACAAACATAAAAGATCTATGCTCATTCCTTCCAGTAATTCTGCTATCAAAGTTCAAAATTTTTCATATAACACCACCTTCGTTTTTCGATATTTATGCTTCAACAAATGTTTCCCAGTTTTAGGGATAGTTATTCTGAATATTGTGTTTGCTCTTGTCTAGCCTCATATTATGAGTACGGAAAAAAGTCTCAAATAGCTTGAGAATTATGGGTCCGATTTTACATGGAAATATTATTTTGCAGCGTTTTTTTTTTTTTTTTTTTTTTAAATAATGCAACGATTTTTGTGTGTGTGATTTCATTTCTTACTTGAAAATCTATATGCAGTAGTAGTTCTAAAAATAATAACAGTAGGAATGTATTAAAATGCTGTTTCCCAAAAAAATATTTTCTATTATACTGGTATAAGTATTATATATACTGGTATAAGTCTTAAATGACGTTGAAACTAATTCGCTGTCAAATACTGCACTTACCATAATAAAGTTTTAGGTTTGCTATTGTTTAGTTTTACGCTTCCTGACGTTTACAAGATGAAAATCTTATATTTTGAAGACATGAAGATCCTAAATTATATGTATCAAATATATATAATATGAGAAAAAATTCCACATATTCGAATTTCAATTATTAAAAATAAATTTTAACTTTTTGCTCTTAATTATTATTATTATTTTTTTTTTTTTGCTCGTATACTTAAGCTTGTCCTTAAACTGCCGCACCTTAGCACTTTTTTAAAGTAAGTCCTTAAAAGCATCACGTCTAGAATAATAATGATAAAAAGAGAGCAATTTAAATATATCTCTTCAGGGTAAAACACATGACAAAATTAATACATTTCAGTGCATAAAGAAATTTTCACTCAAAAAGAACTTCCTGATATTTTGCACGTAAGGAAAGAAAAAAAATCTATAAAATAGAAGCAAGTATATATGCATACTGATAGTTAAATGCGATAGAAATTTAGCGAAACATGAAAAGACTGTCACTTTCTGGGAAAATCATTTATTTAAAAAAAGAGCGAGAGAGAGACTGTGAAGATGAAAAATCAATAAAATGAGTTGTAGCTCGCAACTGAAAAATTCTCCTGATAAGTTCCTTTAGACATCTTACTTTTAACGTTTTTTCAGAACTTTTTAGATTGACAGAAACTGTGGTGAGTGATTTATTAGTAATTTTCAGAAGGATGCAGATGCTGCTTAAGCAGACTTGGGTTGTCAAATGATTGACTGGTTGATTTAACTAAACTGTCGAGAAAGTGATAAAGAATTCTCTTTCTCTGACCCATATAATTTAAACTTTCAGCTTTATAAATGTATTAAAAGATTGCAAATACTTAGACTAATATTTAATAAGAAGAAGTTTTCAACGCGGATGTAATTTTTTTTTTTAATTATAAGCGCTATTTTTATTTGCGATCTATAATGTGTAAGAAGTGAATAAAAGGCTCCCGATCAATATCTCTAATGTTCCCTTGTGTAATGTTTTCTGGTTGAGCCAATATGAAGACGGTCATCGTCAATAATGAATCCATCGTATTCAGGAAAGCGAATGGAAAGCTTAACCAACATATTAAGAGTACGCTGTTGTCGTATCTATTCAAAATATATCATTTTGCAGTTATTGGTTCTGCAATATTATTTTAACTGTGTAAGACTTAAACGGGTGCATATGCTTAATTGCAGCTTGGATTATAAATCCTATATTCCTAATGTACGAAACTGAGCGTCCTCATATTGGTAGGCTAGTAGTAGAAGCCATAGCAACGCAGAAGTACCTTTAAATTTGTTTTACCAAATAAGATGAGTACCTAAACTCTGACTACAGATCCTTCGTATTAAATAAATGCAATATAAACAGTCAAAGCAAAAAAAAATGAACATCAAACAAAAGTAAAATTCAGCCAAATGACAATAGTCAAAACCAAAATGGGAAGTAACAAAAGTCAGGCTTGCATTAAACTTTCAAAGGAAAATCAGAACTAACAATACTTAAGGCTTTGCTGAGTATCGCTAGTTCTGTTCTAGAGTATGGCTGTTTCTGAGTATTGCTAGTTCGTTACTGTTGATGGTTTGAAAACCATCAACAGTATTGTTATGATGTGTAAGTTCTTTTGAACAACTTGTATTTTTATATAAATTGAATAAAACGTACTTCAACTTACTTATTTACCATTTCGTTTACTCGTAATGAATTTGCTAGCCATGACAAAATAGCAGAAACACAGTTAACTAATTGCGTCAAAGCGCAAGTCGCTACCTCGAAGGCGGCACAATAGCAAATTTATATATCTTTGGCTTTTCTGTCTTAAAAATTTTCGTATGTTTTGCACTTTATTTATTTTTGCTCTTTTCCATTTTGTTGCCGTTATAAGTAATGTAAAGCTGCTGATTATTATTAATATTTTTTCTGGCATATGGCGTAATTTTTCTGGTATTTGGCCTTTTGTTTACAGTGCAAGAGCGAATGCTCTGGTACTGAATATTATTACATCCCGCTTAAGTTGTTTATTACTTATAAAATTCGTTACCTTTTATTAAGAGTAGCCTTAAATGTATTTCTAAGTTGTTTTGAAATGCTATTATTTTTATTATTATTGTTACCATTCTTTTGAGTTATATAGAGTATATATATATATCTATACATATTTGCATGCATATATCTGTATGCATATTTGCGCACACACACAGAAAA